TAGCAATTCTACTTAGGTATATATACTCGAGAGATAAAGCACATGCTCACACTAAATGTTCCTTTTTATTTTTTTAATTTAATCCTAGCATGATTGGACACTGGACAGCCTGGGAATTGAACTTGGTTCCTCTGGAATGTCAGTCAGTGCTCTTAACCACTGAGCCATCTCTCTTCTCTACACTAAATGTTCATAATAACATTTTAATAGTGAAAAAGTAGAAACAACCCAAATATCTAACAACTGATGAACGAAGGAGTAAAATGTGGTATATGTAGACAAATACTACCCACATGAAAATGCATGACTCACAAATACTATAACATAATCCTTGAAACCATTATGCAAAGGAACAGTAGCTAGACACACAAAGGGTTATATATTGTTTCATATATATGAAATGCCCAGAATAGGTAAATCTATAGTAACTGAAATTAGATTGGTGACTGCCTCCAGTCAGAAAAGTTTGGGAGAATAGGGAGTGATTGCTAACAGTTTCTTTATAGGGTAACAAAATGCTCCAGAAATAGACCATGGTGGTCACTCATGACTCTGTAGACATGCCATTTACTTTAAAAGATTTTATAAGACCAGGGGTGGTGCTGCACACTTTTAATTCCAGCACTTAGGATGCAGATGCACATGGACCTCTGTGAGTTCAAGGCCAGCCTGATAAACAGAGTTGCACACCAGCCACGAGTACATAGAGAGACCCTGTCTCAAAAATAAATGTTATAGTATATGAATTCCACTTTAAGAAAGCAGTTTTGAGATTCCCAAGACCTAGAAGTCCCAGTTTAAGCATACTCTAGCGCTAACTAACCTCACCTGAATCCTTTTTCACATCATCAGTTCCTAATATCTTCCCCAGGGTTCTCTTGCTTTGCCCTCTGCTTGAAATAGTCTTTCCCAAACTTGACATGACTAATACCTCTTTATCCTTCAATTCTGAGTTCAAACATCTCTACAGTGAAGCCAGCCGCCACCACTCTATCCAAAACAGGATAGCCACTCGGTATCATCTTCTCTTCAGCATCTCGATTGCTTTATAACACATCCACATTACTTTATGTGAATTAAACAATTTATCTATCAGGCCCATCAGACTGTTAGTACCACAAAAATAAGAACCATCTACTATCCCCACTATAATCCCTGATGTCTAACACAGTTCCTCACATCTAAGTAATATTTTTATTTCCCTAATAGGCCTGTCTTCATACATATTACTCCCTTGGTTAATATTACCACTGGCAATAGCACCATCACCACCCTTACCCCTTTAGGGCTCTTATTCATCTTGCAACTAAAACATTCTCTCCCTAAAGCCTTCTCTTGACACTCCCTCCCAGCCCCAGGGTAGCCAGTCTCACCTTCACGCCATCACCTGGCATTACTGGCAGCCCTGCCACCACAGCAATTATACTGGATTATGCCTAGGTTTGGGGGGAGGGGCAGAGTGTTATTATTTTGTAGTTGTATCTACTACTTTAGAAAACTTCAGCACAAAAGAAAAACCTTCATTTTTGTACCCCTAGTACTCTGCATACTATCAGGCACAGTGCTACTATAATTGATAGCAGCTAACATTTATTAAATCCTTAATGTGTGCTTGACACTTGTTTCTGTAGTAAGAGGGTAACTGAATTAATGGATTCCTCCAATACCAACCTCAAGGAGGTCAGTCCAATGGGGACAGCAGAATAGCATATGGACTAATGCAGACACCACCACAGGGCCAAAGTTGTTGGCCTATCCCATTCCTATGCCTTCAAATCTTAAAGTATGCTTTTCTCAGAGTCCATTAATGTCAGGACTCTTCGAACTCACTTAAAATACTTCCTTCCATTACTTACAACCCACTTTCTGGACTTGGTGCCTGGAAGCAATTTCTAGGATGTCACCACAAGCAATATTAAACTGCCTCATGGTTTCCTACTGTGCATCAGCATTATCAGTTAAACTGCCCCATATTAACCACATTCCAGTCCACTGGGATCACTCAAACACTAAATAAGATTTAAACATACCTGTCCAAGAATGTCACTTACCCTGTTCCTTTTATGCCTCTAGGAAATACCTGCTTGGGCTGAGAATTTAGGTCTCAAGTAAACTACCTGAATACTGGTGAGTTCTTTCTTTTGTCACTTAGATATTTGGTTTTATACAAGACACTGTGCCATTATTAAAATGAACACAGACTAAACAAACTCATTAGTAAAGATAACATTCTCCCCCAGACCAGGACAATTTGGCTTAGACTTATTGAATACAAAAACTTTTGAACAGCAAACTGCTCTTCTGAATTCTATGTACATTTCAATTTGAGAACCTAATGTCTTAATTTAGTATCTTAATTCAGACCCTATTTATGATAAATTCTTCCTAAACAATCATGTTTGATACAAGGAACTGAAAAACAAATCTGATAGTCCTTGCTCTCAAGAAGTTTGTGCCCCACTTAATATAAGCCAATTGAGGAACAAGACTTGGCACTGCCATTCTAATGAACAAGTAGTTGCAGAAACACAGAGAGGCACCTGACCTGACCTAGATGGGGGTGCAGACAATTTGAAGGAACTAGCATCTGATCTTAAGCCTATGGACTCCCACTCTCTCATGTAAAAACAATAGTTAATAAACAGCAACAGTGAAGAGTTGTAAGGGTTTTATAAAATGATTCACATTAAACATTACCATGGTGCCTGACACAGACTGCTTCAGCAGCCTCAGGTTGCCAAGTCTCAACAAGCAGTAAATCACCTCCTGGACCCAATAACACACCTGCTTTATCACTAATCATACAGACACCAGCTTCATAATTACAGACAGTATCATTTTTCTAATCAACTTTTATTTTTATTTTATTGTGACATTATTAAGTCTTGCTCTCCATATGAACATCAAAACTGTGTTTTCTATTACCTGGAACATACATTTCTTTGACATTTCTGGCATAAAATACATCTCTGACATTCTTAACTATTTGATAAGATGTAAAACAACCACTAAGTTCTTAATATGGGCCTGGTTTAAAAAAAAAAAAAAAAAAAACCTTGTGCTTACTGTTCATAATGATCCTGCAGGTCCCTTCCTTCTACCCTAGGAAAATCCAGATTCACCGATACACTGTTTCATAGTCAGCATAAAAAAGAGCTGGAATTTGAACCCAGATCTGATGCTCACTGTCCTTGTAATGGCACAAGGCATTAGAGACAAACAAAAGAAAATACAGATTTCTTGGGGAAGTCTAGAGATTGCTCAGTCTGCCCCCACTCACCTACCCATCTACTTACTCAATAGGGTCTGAACACTTAGCTTCCACCTCAACCAGGTGAATACTTTGTTCTGCCTGACAGAACAGCCAATAGCAACCAAAGCTATTTTCTCCAATGACAAGGGTGGTACCCAAACTGATTGTTCTCCCACCACTTGTCCATCCATACTCCTAACTATGGACAGAAATCACACAATCAATACTCACTATAAATCACAACGACTTTTCCTAACTTCTCTTTTCATACTCTTTCAGACTCACCACGGGTTAACATATTTCCCAGGCCCCCTTTTTTTTCTGTTAACCACTCAGCAGTCAAGTTTGAAGATCAATAAGGCCATTCTTCATACTAATTTCACACTTAGTGCAGTTTCATGCGCCTTGGTAAATTCCCTTGCTCAAGTGCTCAGATATTACAGTCATGTGTTCCACAAAACATACTTAAGAAACATCTTTGTCAACCTGCTACTGTCAAGAGTATGAGCAGATGACAGCTAGTCAACTGAACTTCTGCTTGTTCTATTTGAATGTTCACTCAAACACTTGATGCCTCCAGTTGGGCAAGTCTCTGAACTCTATGGAACAAGAAAGTAAACATCCTCGCACTTTCTCTGCAGCTCTGAGGTGACTTTAAGAAAGTTTCTGCGAGCTATTGACATCCAAGTTTATAGCTCTTACAGCTGAACTTAGCTTGGAGTGCCTTTTAATGCCAACAGTTCACAGACTACATCATTTTCCCTCCCCAGATTCTCAGACTCCTGCTTGGGTTATGTTCTAACCCCTCCTCCCTTTTCTATAAAAATAAAAGTCACCTTATACCTCCACATTCACTTTCTAAGCAAACTTTTCTAATTTCATTCAGCAGGTATCACAGAGCTTCTTTAACACATACTAGACATCTTTTGTAAATGAGAAACCTAACTGCTAGAGAATGAGCTGCTGGGCAAGGGTCACACTTGCATGTGCATCACCTGGACATGAGAAACAATGTTTGAAAAATTACTAGATTTTGCCCTTGAGGCCCTTCCTCTTTCAAACTTCCCTAGTACAATTCTCAAAATGCTGAAATAAACACATTCAACCGACTTTCCTATAAGAGGTTTATGGTGTCTTGTGAATGCTGTTTTCCCGAAAAGCCTATGCTGTAAACTTTCTTTGTAAATGTCCCTAAGCAATTCTATTAGTCATAGAGAAAAAGTGAACATTTGCTAATGATTAGAGAGATAAAGCATCTGGGGCTGGGGGAGGGAGTGGCCAGAAGAGGTCTTGGCTGTGAGGAGAGATAGTCCAAAGCAACACACCCAAATTGGACCACATAAAAATTGCACTTTCCAAAGTCAACTTGTAAGTCTAGGAGGAGGACAACAATGTTTCCGTGGGTTCTGAAGTTACAAGTATCAACAATTTCACCAGAAAAGGAAGACTCAACCAGGGACTCCAAGTGAATAAAGGAGTGAAGGAATGTGCCAGATTGGATTACAAAACCTTTTCAAAATCAGGTGCTCAGTTACAACCCAAAGGTATCTTCCTTCACAGCCTTTGGCCCTTGTGTGGAGACTGAGATGAGAGAGAGAAGGAGCAAGGCAAAGGGCCTTCTCTGCAGGCCATCAAGCCCTCAAATCTACCAGAGCCCCCACCCCACCCCACCCCCCGCCCCAAGAACCTCACACCACTTCTGTAATGGCTACAGGCCTCAAGCAGTCAGACTTCAACCTCTCAGGACCTGCCAACTCTCGGGGTCGCCACAAACACGCACATGTGGGGACTTGCTTCCGGAGACCTCCCCACTCTCTGCAGCCGTGTGACCGTTTTCTGAGGTTCGGTTCGTCCCGCGGAGGGAGCTACCTCGTCATGTCAGCGGTTCCCGCTCTCAGGTGAGGAGAGGACGTCTGATCACCCGCGCCCCTCCACCGCGCACGCACCCCGTTCCCGAGCCTCCCGCATCGCCATGGCAACCGTCCCCCTCCCCGCTTGACGCCTCCACGCGGGGCGCCCCTCGGGTCAGGGCAACAAGTCCCCCAGCGCGGCCCGCGGCCTGCAGCTCCAGCCCGGCCTCGCCTCCCCTGCGCCCGGCCCGGCCCGGCTCCGCCCGGCCGCACTCACTTGATCCTGGAGCCCATGGTCCCGGGGCCTCCTCATGGACCCGCGGGCCCCGCTCGGCGCTGCGCTGCCCGCCCGCCCGCGGCCGACCGGCCTCCCTCCGGCGCTCTCCCCGCCCTTTCCTCCTCTCCCTCAGGCTGGGGCCCGCCCGCTCGAGGACAGCTCCCTCGCCGCCGCCTCCCGAGGTTAAAGTAGTCGCTCCTGCCGGGCGAACGCCATGGTCGCGTACCGGGTGCGCGCCGCCCCCTCCGTCTCTCACACCGCCGCCCCCTCCCGCCCGCGCAGCCGGCCGCGGGGCCTGCTGGGAAGTGTAGTCCGTTCGCGTGAGGCGGGCCTGGGGGCTAGAAGCGCACAGCCAGACACTCATCTACCTGCGAGAGGCCTGAGGCTTCGCTGAGAAGAAAACTAGAGACTTCTGTCCCACTGCTCTCCGTCAGAATTCACCCAAAGCGCCCTGAAGAAACTTCCATCGTGACCCCTGAGGCCACTGACGCAGCCTTCGTTCACGCCCCTGTGGATCCCTTTGACAGGCCAAAACTTGGGGTGTCTCAATTTAAAGGAAGCATTTGTCCTCCCCTCACATATGCTTTAACTCAGTAACCCACAGTGACTCCGCTTTCACTGAGTCAGGCTTCGGGTTCTTGGCTCCTGAATTTGAAGAACGAAGTTCATGGACCATGGAGTAAAGTTTAGCTTAAAAGAGTTTTTAAAACATCCATAGGTAGGAGCTTGAAAGAAAACAGAGCCTGCCCATCCCAGGAAACGAGGTACCAACTAGCCTCATGCCAGCAGCTGGGGATGAGGTAGAGGTGTCTCCACTCAGTTCCCAAGTCTTGTCCTCACCTGTAACTTCTGGACAAAGGTAAGAGATAACAAGCAGCCAGAACTCTTCTGGTATTCCTGGCCTCCAGCAAGGACACTCTAGGAACTGACACAGTGTTGCCTCCTCAGACCCAATGCCTTCCAGACAGATCTCTGTCACACCGTCTACTTCGTGCCCTAGTTTCCTCTTATCCTTTCCTGTTAAGACTGGTAACTCATACCCACAGGAAAGTTACCTAGAAAGATTATAGGACTTGTGATGATTAATATTTTCAACTTGACAGAATCTAGAAGCATATTTTGAGAATTCCTTCCCTGGGATATGAAAACAATGTGTACCCTCTCCTTATAAGGCCCCAATAACAAACCAGCATGTAAGTCCACCAAAGTTCAACCTGAGGAACCAATGAGTTTATTGGACTTATAAAGCATGAGTGAGGGTTTCTAACAGGAGTAAGCTGCACTAGAAAGTGTCCACCCTAGCATGAATGGTAGCGTTTTCATAGACATATAATTTTCTTTAGATAACCTCCTATAATCTACTACAATCTGTGTACTCTAATACCAGCCCCCACCCCCAGGCACAGAGGAGTGTGCAATCAGAGTAGATTGCATACAAATGGCTGGGAGGAGCAGGTGGATTCTCTGGTGTGGGGCCAATGGTCCTCCCCAACCCTCCTTCTCTGAAGAACTGTTAACTAACAGACTTACTCTTGACAACTTTCTGCAAGCAGGCATAGCTGATACAAAAATGAGGCTATTGTGCTGGGAGAATCAGGTTCTACAACCAATCTGCTAAGTAAAAAAAGTTCTGGGACTATCTATGAGGAAGTTTCTCGATCAGTTTAATTCAGGAGGGTGGTCCTATTCCATGGGTTGCATTAAGAGAGAAGAGGGAACTGCCAGGCAGCATTCCTGGCTCTGCTTCCTGACTGGATTCTTTGTGACCAGCTGCCTCCCTCTCCTGCTGCTGTGCCCTCCCCACATGTCATACTGTACCCTCAATCTGTGAGTTAAATTAAACCTTTCCTAAATTGTTGGCAGTTTGGGGATTTTGTTTGTTTTGTTTTAAGACAGGGTCTCACGATCCAGCCCTGTTGGCCAGGAACGCAGAGATATGCCTGCCTCTGTTTCCTGAGTGCTGGGCTTTTAAATTGCTCTTGTCAGGTGCTTCATCAGAAGAAAAGCAACTAATACAGGACCTGTGGGGTGGCTCTGCAAGGGCCCCTGCTTCCTTTATTGGTCATTATGAGGGCTCCAGTACTGAAATTTTCTCTGATCACAACTGTCCCTGTCAGCAATTAACAAAATGGAAACTATTTGAAAGCCAGGATCATTAACCTACTACCTGTCCCTGCCGAACCCCTCCCCCTGAGACACTCACTTTCATAAACCCCAGTTTCATGGCCTCTAGGCCTGGAGGGCCCACAAAGGAAGCAATAATGACAGATCCGTTTAGTGAGGGTGTGAGCATGCCCTTTATGAAAATTAGGCACAATATTCCCTAGGACGGGTTCATGCCAATCCTCATGATGCTCCTGGGAATTTGCCCTCCCCATTTGCAAAGAGGAAACTGAGGCATATTCACCAGGTGATACATTAACAACTAGTGAAGCCAAGATCAACAACAGTGCTGAGTGATTCCAGACACATGTCAGATCTAGTCATTCTTGAGGGTGGCACTTTCGGACACAAGTCAGAAGATGCCATAAACTCACAGAGTCCCTTTTGATACTGTGCTTTTTCTTTCTCTTCCTTGCCTCCTTCAGTTTTCTCTTCTGAAATGCCATTCACCCCTTCTACAATTTTAACCTTTATAAATGCATACAAATGTCTCCCTACTCTCCACTCATCTCATAGTCACTAGTAACATCCTAGGCTCCCAGCCAGGAAGAGAGTAAAGAAAACACAATGTAGAAAAACTCCTTCTTTGGGAGTACCTCCGGTTAAAAATAAGATCTCCCTTTTGTCTGTGCCTTGAGGTTGTTGAAAGGCAAAGGGTGAGCTTTTTTGAATTAAAAAAAAATGAAATATCCAAACTGCCATTTTGAAATCAAAGTCTTTGCATCCAGACACCAACACCTACTAAACACCCCCAGGAGCAGTGTTCTGCTAGACAGGCAGCAGTTCCCTGTGTTTATTCACCTTGTTTTCTATGAAACCTCTCCAAGGAGCAGTTGTTATCAAGATCTTCTCTGGAATGAGCAGTCAGTTCAAAAGCTCTGTGCAGGGGACTATAAATAAAACAAAGTTATCTGGTGGAGGGCAAAAGTTGGCTGCTTTTCAAAGAAGGTTGTAGCCATCCTGGCCACAAAAATGTCTGAGTGCCTACTGGGTGGTTGTGTGTGTATATGTGTGTGTTGTGTGTTGGAAGGGGAGGCAAAAGGTAGGGCTTATGTATTTGCCCAGGTGGCCTCTAGACAGCAGGGTGGTCTAGGGAAAGAACACAGAGTGGGAGTTGGGAGTCTGGCCTGTAGTACTGTTTGCAACATTGTAAATTTAAGCAAATAATTGGCCAATCGTCTGTTTCCACTTCCTCCTCTGTAAAATGGGTAGAAAGGATGAAGTGGTGCTCAAATCATAAGACAAGATGTGATGCAGGAGCCGACAGTGCAGGAACCTGAACCAAGCTACCTTGACTCCAATCTCACTTCTGCCTCTTACAACATATGTAAACTTGGACTAGTTTTATCTAATCTCTCAATATCTTGGTTCTTTGTAAAACGAGGGTGATAATATCCTATAGTAAGTGAAGATGAGAAATAAATTAGTGACAATGAAGTATAAAGTGACTAGCATGTAGTAAGCACTCAAACAGTATTGGCAACTAGTATGTACAAAACTCTAAGCACAGTTTAATGTTTATTTCACTTGTTAGTTTGATTATTTTCATTGCTGGGAAATAAACTCATGGCCTTGTGCTTGTAAGCACTCTGTTCCCACGTTCTACCCCTAGCCCTGACATTCATTATTAATAATAATAAGCATAATAAGGGTTGGGAGGATAGTTCAGTTAGTAAACTGCTTGCTTTGCAAGCATGAGGACCTAAGTGTGATCTGCAGAATCCATGTTTTTAAAAAACAAACAAACTAACTAAATGTCAGGCATGTACAGTAATGTGCCTGTAATCCCAGTGCTGGGGAGAAACACTTGTCCATTCCCTTAAGCTGGATATGTTCTAGGCCATTAGAGACCTTGTCTCAAGGAAAAGGTGGATTATGCCTAAGGATTGACTGTTGTTGATTGTTTCTTACTCTTTTGGGGGGCCTGCCACCCAGCACCCAGATAAATCACAGATGGAAGCTTATTCTTAATTATAAATTCCTAACCTTTAGCTTGGCTTGTTTCTTGCAAGCTTTTCTTAACTTATCCCATCTACCGTTTGCCTCTGGGCTTTTCTTATTTCTGTAATCTTACTTTCACTCTTACTCCACGTCTGGCTGTGTAGCTGGGTGCCTGGCCCCTGATGTCCTTCTCCTTCTCTGGCTCCTAGATCTCTCCTCCGAGATTTCGTCTTCTATATATTTTCTTTGCCTGCCAGCCCCTCCAATCCCTTCTCCTGCCTTGCTATTGGCCATTCAGCTCTTTACTAGACCATCAGGTGTTTTAGACAGGCACAGTAACACAGCTTCACAGAGTTAAACAAATGCAACATGAACAAAAGTAATACACCTTAAAGTACTATTCCTCAACAAATCACACCTGAGGTTGCCCTCTACCTACCTACCTACACACACACACACACACACACACACACACACACACACACACACACACCTGCATACACACAAATATGTACACATGCTCACACACACAGAAACATAATAGTTCTGTACTTGGGTTCAGGATCCCAGAATTCCTAACCCTCCTTTACTATTTATATTCTGTTAGTTTCAATTCAACTGTAAAGGATAAAAATC